CTGCCAGTGGGTCGAGCGGAATGAGGCACCGCGGGGATCTGAGCGAGACCTCGCCGTCCCTGGGGGGCTGCGATCTGCGACGCTGTCGCCACTTTCGAGGGCTGCTAATGGGTCCAGTGGACTGAGGCACCGCGGGGATCTGAGCGAGACCTCGCCGTCCTTGGGGGGCTGCTATCTGCGACGCTGTCGCCACTTTCGAGTGCTGCTGGTGGGTCCTGCGGAGTGAGGCACAGCGGGGATCTGAGCGAGACCTCGCCGTCCTTGGGGGGCTGCTATCTGCGACGCTGTCGCCACTTTCGAGGGCTGCCGGTGGGTCCTGCGGAGTGAGGCACCGTGGGGATTTGAGCGAGACCTCGCCGTCCCTGGGGGGCTGCGATCTGCGACGCTGTCGCCACTTTCGAGGGCTGCTGGTGAGTCCTGCGGAGAAAGGCACCGCGGGGATCTGAGCGAGACCTCGCCGTCCTGCTGCGATCTGCGACGCTGTCGGAGGGCTGCTGCCTGCGGAGTGAGGCACCGCGGGGATCTGAGCGAGACCTCGCCGTCCCTGGGGGGCTGCGATCTGCGACTCTGTCGCCACTTTCGAGGGCACCGCGGGGATCTGAGCGAGACCTCGCCATCCCTTGGGGGCTGCGATCTGCGACGCTGTCGCCACTTTCGAGGGCTGCTGGTGGGTCTTGCGGAGTGAGGCACCGCGGGGATCTGAGCGAGACCTCGCCGTCCCTGGGGGGGCTGGGATCTGCGACGCTGTCGCCTCTTTCGAGGGCTGCTGGTGGGTCCTGCGGAGTGAGGCACAGCGGGAATCTGAGCGAGACCTCGCCGTCCCTGGGGGGCTGCTATCTGCGACGCTGTCGCCACTTTCGAGGGCTGCCGGTGGGTCCTGCGGAGAAAGGCACCGTGGGGATCTGAGCGAGACCTCGCCGTCCCTGGGGGGGCTGCGATCTGCGACGCTGTCGCCACTTTCGAGGGCTGCTGGTGGGTCTTGCGGAGTGAGGCACCGCGGGGATCTGAGCGAGACCTCGCCGTCCCTGGGGGGGCTGGGATCTGCGACGCTGTCGCCTCTTTCGAGGGCTGCTGGTGGGTCCTGCGGAGGGAGGCACAGCGGGGATCTGAGCGAGACCTCGCCGTCCCTGGGTGGCTGCGATCTGCGACACCGTCGCCACTTTCGAGTGCTGCTGGTGGGTCCTGCAGAGTGAGGCGCCGCGGGGATCTGAGCGAGACCTCGCCGTCCCCAGGGGGCTGCGACCTGCGACACTGTCGCCACTTTCGAGGGCTGCCGGTGTGTCCTGCGGAGTGAGGCACCGCGGGGATCTGAGCGAGACCTCGCCGTCCCTGGGGGGGGCTGCGACCTGCGACGCTGTCGCCACTTTCGAGGGCTGCGGGTGGGTCCTGCGGAGTGAGGCACCGCCGGGATCTGAGCGAGGCCTCGCCCTCCCTGGGGGGCTCTGCAGAGCTGCTGTGGGATACGCTGCGGGCGCATGGCACAGCCAACGGGGGTGATGTGTGAAACAGACCATCTGCCGGGCAATGGCCATAACGTTGCGCCTGCACGTATCCCGCGGGATCTCTCAAGAGCTACTGTGGGATACGTGGGTGCAACGGGCGCATGGCACAGCCAACGGGGGTGATTTGTTATTTCGCAGCCCTTGGATCTTGATCGGGTGCCTGCGAGCCTTCCGATTGCTACTCGCAAAATCACATGCGTCCATGTTACGTCATCGCCCACGTTGTAGCAATCCTGATGTTATTATGCCCCGCATTGCGCAAGGTTGGTTACGTCGCCAGGGTAATTTCATGTTGACCGAAGCGTGACACATGAAACAACATCGGCGCCGTAATCGGGATTGGAGCTGGAATCGGAACTGAACAAACAGACGTTGAAAAGCGGGATCGGACACAAATTCTCAAGGCCCACAAAGGGTGGCGCCAGGGGTGCCACCAAGGGGGTCCAACGCCGATCCAAGAAGTCCGCGCGGACCTCTGAAAGTGTATGCTTGTGCAGCATGTTCCTTCTTCTGGCATCGTTGGCAGCGCGGCATTCAACCTGCTGGTCATCACGGCGGTCTGCATATCGGCGATCCCGCAGGGCGAGACGCGACGGATCAAGGACATCGCGGTGTTCGCTGTGACCGCGTCTTTCTCGATATCCCGTCCGCCTGCGGCAAACCATCGCCCCTTTACGTTGCATTTTCGCGGGGCCTTGCCCGTCATGTGAATGGTGGTTTTTGTTTGTGTCCGAATTGGCTTCGATGTGGATTTCGGCTTGGATTCGGCGTCGATTCGACTTGGATTGAACGTGGATTTGACGCGGATTCGACGCGTTCGACCTGAATACGATGCGGATTCGACGCGAACAGCAGCACGATGGGACATGCAAGGCCCCCCGAAGATGCAATACACGCAACCGTGCCCGAGCACCGCGCTCGGGTAGGAACACCATGTGGATTTCCTGGGAGCAGCGCTCTAGCCCGTCCGTGTAAGGTTGGTCTGCGGATAGTTCTGGCGCCCAAGTGCCAGTCTACCCTGGGGCCTCCCCTATTCGAGGAGGTTGTCTGGCATGGGCACACCCCCCCTTAGCAAGACACCCTTTCAGTGAGAACGGCACGGGTACACACCCAGCAGCGGGCGCAGGCCCGCAAGCATCGAGGCCGCACCACCTTATCGAGAGCCGAACAAGCGCAATTCGCAAATCGACGTGGCAGGGCGGGTTTCTTGTAAACCCCTCCGTGACTTCCTCTGTGAAACGCCTATGACTAGGGCTGGCCGAGTGCCTGTATACGTTGGCCGCCTTCCCGCTGCATGCTTCTAGCTGCTTCTGCTGAGCAGACTGCACGAGCTTGTAGCGTGGCGTGGTCGTCACATCGCTTGGTTGCTGCGCTGGCTCTTCTGGAATTGTCTTAGAGCTTCTTCGAGGCTTCTTGGGGAACTCTTGGGACACCCTCGGGCCGCTCTTGAGGCCTCCGGGCGGGGGGTGCCTCTTTGGGCTTGTGCGGGGTCTTGTGAACGGTTTGGGCGCGATGACTATGCTGAGGTCTCCCAGAAGGGCTCGGCAGAACCATCGTGGAGCAGTCTGGTCGGGTCTCAGGCCCGTTGGCAGCGCTCCACTCTTGCCGTCTTGGAGCGTTCCGTTCTTACGGCGGTCCTGGGCCCTTCTTTTGGGGTGTTCCTTGGCTATCTTGGGGTCGGGGGCGTCGTGGGGCCCTCTGAGGCCTGAAGGCCCTGCCTTCTCGAGGCCACCGCAGGCTCAAAAAGCGCTGGAAGCCGACAACAGGGTACAGCATGTTGTTTCTGGGTGGGTCACCGGGGCCGTTCTGGAGGTCTGCGTGGACGCGTCTTGGAGGCCTATTGCGGCATGTTGGGGTCCCTCGGGGCTCTTGCGGACATCTTGCTTCCTACAAGATGCTTTGGGCCGCTTGAGAGCGGTTTTTGAAAACATGGGGCTGCATCATTGGGGCGATCGTGGACCGCCTTGGGGCAGTCCAGAGGCTGAGAAGGACGCCAGGAAGGAACCAGTACTGCGGTGAAATCTGACGCATGTACTCGTCGGTCGTTGAAAGAATGTATTTTTGAACTCTCAGATCCCAATCTACTCTAGGCGTCTTGCTACCTCAATAATCGGTATGCTTTTGCTGTGTGTTGTCATTATCTGGGAGGGCCTGAACCCAGTCTACTTGTCCTGCTTCCGACCGACGTGTACAGCGAAAGACTCTGAAGCGAGGACCGCTTTGGGCCCAGGAGGGGCCTACGGTTTGCAGCCCGGTCCGCGCATCTGTGTCGGGCCGCCTACTCGTGGCCCAGGTTCGGCAGGAGACGTCAGGCAGAGCCTTTCACCAGACGGTGCGTGAGAGCAGAGGAGAAGCTTGGCATCGCTCAGACGTGTGCCTCTTTGCTCTGCGAGGGCCAGCGAGGATCATCTTGGAGAATCCTGCGAGAAAGAGAGAGGACGCACGAAGCCGAAACATGCACGGGCAAGGGACGTCCGAGCCATGGCGAGAAAAGCAGAGGTCCGTCGAATGCCTTCGGCATCCCCTCCGGCTCCTGCCAGCCAGCTCCCGCTCGCCGAGGCTTTGCGTGGCCATGGAAGTGGTTCTAGGCCTCCTAGATGGCGTCCGGGTAGATGGGGTCGGGGGATCAGGCCGCATCGCCGATGCATCGCCGATGCGGCTCGATGTGGAGCCCGATTTGCTTCACGTCAACGTCGCCGATGCATCGCTGACACATCGCCGATGTATCGGCGATGCGGCGCGATCCTTCGACCCCATCTACTCCGACCCCATCTAGGACTCTAGTGATGTCGTCCCTGCGCAGCTTGCCGCACGGTGTAGCACAACGTCCGCGTGCGTTCGGGCCAGGAGGGCGGGGCGCGCCGCCAGCTGGCAGGCACTGGAAATTCAAACTACGGCACGCCTCTGCTTGCCGTTGGTGATCGTTTTTATGCATTGTTTTGCCGATCGGCGCGGGCCCCCCCTTCCGCATGGAGTAGGTCTTGGCTGTTTTTTTGCCCCTGTTTCGAGCAGGTGGAGCTCCTCCCCCATAAGACGCACGGTCCCAAACTGTCGCACTAAGCAGAAGTGCGGAGCCAGACCCCCCCCTCCCCCCTCCCCCCTCCCGCCCAATGTCGAAACGCCGCATAAAAATACCTCACTTGGCACGGTTGCGGATTTGCGTATTTGTGGTGCCTCGTCATCTTGACGGTCTTCACGCCGAACGTGGTCACACCGGCTGAGGGGTTGCTCACTGTCGTGTTCCTGCCCCTCCTCGTCACCCTTGCATACTTGGCGGACATCGGCTGGTTTCACAAAGTGATCGGCAAGGTGAAGCCACGCAAGCAGCTTGTCTTTTCAAGCGACACCAGTAGGGAGGACTACGTCAAAATGATGGAGCACCTGAAGGAAAAGTACCCCGTGCTGCCCTCCACCGACCAAGAGATGCACGTCCTGCTGCGCTACGAGTTCCCTGAGCACACCACGCGCGCAGTGCGGCGCATGGAGGCCATGCGCAACATGGGTGGACAGAAGCGGTCGTCGGCACGGCAGACGGACCACCTCCAGATCCTTGGCGAGGACGTGTCGAAGGGACTGAAGCCGGGAACCGCAAACGGCAAGGCGCACAACGCCTCAGTGCATCCGGCCGACGCGTGGGGCCAGCCCGAGCACAAACCGAATGCCATTTTCGAGCACGTGTCGGACGTGTACGCGGTCTCAGAGGCAGCGAAGCAGGTGTCTTTGACCGTGCGGCGTGCGGGCAACGAGCAGACCTCTGCCTCGTGCAAGATCCGGACGGTCCCGGGCACCGCGGAAGCACACAAGGACTACGTGCCAATAGACGAGCAGTTGGACTTCCTTCCCACGGAGACTGAGAAGACGGTCAGAATCCAGATAGTAGAGGACAAGAAGCCGGAGGCGACGGAGGAGTTCTACGTGGAGCTCATCCCGGTCCCGGGCAACGGCATCGTGGGTTTCAAGAAGATTGCAACAGTGGTCGTGCTAGACTCCGACTCTCAAGGCAAGCTGAGATTCGAGACCGACTCCATGACCATAGCAGAGCAGACTCACTGCGTGACGAGGAAGATCAAGGTTGAGCGCGTGGATGGCGGGGTCGGGGACATGAGGTGCGCCTACCGCACCGAAGAAGCCTCGGCCAAAGCTGGCAAGGACTTCAAAGAAACGTCAGGAGAGCTGGAATTCCCCCAGGGAGTGATGCACGCATTCATCGACGTGACGATCCTCCCCATGAGTTCGATCGACCAGAGGAAAGAGATCTTCCGCCTCATCATCGAGCGATGCGAGGGCGATGAGACGGCCTGCTTCGACGAGAACACCGATGGCGGAAGCGAGGCGGGCATCTGCACCATAACGATCGAGTCCGACGTGAGCAGGATGAAGCAGTACAACGCGTGCCTCAATGCCGCGGCCACGCGAGGGCTGCTCAACATGGACAACGTCGAGATAGGGTGGTCAAGGTGGAAGGACCAATTCGCCGAGGCTATTTATGTGGGGGGCGACGCAGAGTCTCAGGCCGACGCGGGAGTGATTGATTGGATCTTCCACGTCATCAGCGCGCCGTGGAAGGTGTTTTTCGCCGTCGTTCCCCCGACGGACTTCTGCGGAGGGAAAGTGTGTTTCATGTGCGCCCTGTTCATGATCGGGGTCTGCATCTTATTGGGCCCTGGAAGCGACAGGGTCGTGTCTTTTCCCTTTTAGCCTTTCCGTTTTTTATCGTTTGCGGAGAAGTGTTGCTTTACGTGCCCAGCGTCGTTGTTTTACGGTTTTAGTATCCTTTGGTGGGTGCCTGGTCCAGATTGCCGTTGTTCTTACCAGATCGGAAGCGTTTGAGAGACGGTTCCGAACGTCTTCCGGATCACCAGATCGCCCAGGCCGTTTCGGTGAATTGTTTGTTTTACCGTCTCGGTGAACAGTTTTTTGCAGTTTTCATTAACAAAGGGCAGTACTTCGAAAACGACCTCGTCACACGCTTCGCCGGGGGGCGGGGGGCGCTTCGGAGAAGGGGCGGGGGCGTGAACGAGGACGGGCCCCAGCGCCTGCCCCCAGTGCAGGCACCGGCCTGCATGAGTGAATCTGAGACTCTGGATCACGCTTCTGGCGCCGCTGCCCATCCCATGCTAAGCATGAAGAGGCCTACACTTCCAATGTTGAGCCGGCCAGAGTTCCCACGTGCAGGTGTTGTCAGGTCCAGAACTCGACGGGCGCATGGTAGAAGAGCGGACGAGGACGAGGGCGCTTCCCCAGACCCCCTTCGCGTCAAACATCACTACGGACGTTTTTTGGCCGTGCTCGGCCTTTGGGTGCCCGCGCCGAGCCCGGGGCCCGGGGCCCGATGACGAGCTGGTCCCTGGGAGTGGAGCAAGGCATCTTGGGGTCCTGCCGTTTCCAGGGCCCACCTTTCCAGGGCCCACCAAGGTCTGCACCGCCCTCATTGGCGACCTGGCGAACTTGCTGGGCTGCGCTCTCGACATCCCGCCTTCGATTTGCGCTATCACTTTTGTGGCCCTCGGCACCTCGCTGCCCGACACGTTTGCGTCCAAGACGGCCGCCATCCAGGACCCCATCGCAGACAACAGCATCGGCAACGTCACCGGGAGCAACTCCGTCAACGTCTTCCTCGGGCTGGGGCTATCCCGAGGAAGAGAAAACAGCATAAACGCAGACTTTCGGAGCTCCGCGCGGAGTTCTTTGGATCGGCGCCGGGCCCCCCTGGCGGCGCCCGCCGCCCCCCGCGCCGATCCAGGAGGTCCGCGCGGAGCTCCGAAAGCTTTCGCTCGTGCCGCTGTGTTTGTTCCTCGCTCATCGTGGTCCGTGGCCGCCCTGTACTGGGAGTCCGAGGGCGGGGAGTTCCGGGTCGACGCCGGCTCGCTCGGCCCCATGGTCGCGGTGTTCTGTGGCTGCGCCTTCTGCTGCATCGCGCTCCTGCTCGCCCGGCGGTGGGTGCTCGGGGCGGAGCTCGGAGGGCCCGTGCTGCTGGCGAGGATGTCGAGCGCCTTCCTCGTCTGCTTGTGGGTTGGGTACATCGTCGCGTCTGTGCTCATCGAGTCGGGCTGAGCGCGCATGGCGGGAAGGCGAGCAGACCTGGTGCGCCGGTGGCTCTCCTGGGCGGCGCGTGCTCCGACCGGCATGGTTTAGCATGGCTGATAGGTTTTCTCTAGAGAAGTGTGGCTTGGCAGGCCGTGTGTGGATCGGGCGGGCTTTACTTCGGGGCTCGACTGAGCCCATGGCATCTGGTTGTGGGGGGTCTGGGGCGTGAGTTTTCAGGTTGGCTCCTGAACCAGAGGACCGAGAGTCGGGTTTCGTGTTTATGTGTCGTGGGTTTGCAGCTGCGTCCGTGATGCCCGGGTCTTCGGGGCCACGTCGACGACATGGATTCATCCTCCGCGTCGCGAGCAGTCGCGGTCCTTGCTTGCCGAATCAAGCGACTGTGAGTCAAAAGCGGTTCGAGTGAAAAGCGAATGTGAGTCGAAAGAAAACAAATGGTGGACCAATTTTGTTTTTGATGTGATTCAAGCGAACGTGGTCCGTAATCATTGGAAGCAGCCCTGGATCAAACGTTGGCCCAAGTTACTCACAGTGGCGCGAAGTTGACCGCCCTTTGCGGTCTGACCTGGGGATGGGTTCTCTTGGGGGTTAGACCGAAGGTGTTGGGGAAAAATAGCCTAGGTACATTGCGAATCAAAGGTTGAGAAAATGTGGATTATATAGCAAATCGCACGTGGATAGACATCCCATCGATAGCGGCTGATATGACTCGAACATGAGCGAAGTGCGATTCAAAGGTGAGTTATCCAGCTGCATGCCGTGTCAGCTGTCTTTTTGGCGGTGAGAACGGCATGCCAAGCCGCCTCATCGCCGCCAGCGCGAGCTGCCACAACAATAGCAGCATGCCCGCCTGCGGCGGCAACGCGGGCGTCCACCCGCCGCACGGGCGGCTGGCCAGCTGCGGCCACGCCGGCGCCCAACATCCGCAACGCATGCAGGCGACCCAGGCTGGGCCCAGGGACGCCGCGTGCGCCAGCCAGGCGCGGCCCGCAAAGAGGTCCCGCGCCGCTGCGGCTGTCCCCCCGGGCGCGGTGCCGCTGCAGGCGCCGGGGCGGCGGCCTACCCGCGCTGCGGCGGCGGCGCCGCGGCTGCGGCCGCCGCGGCTGCGTCCCCCACGCGGGGCGCGCGCCTCTGGCGGCGCCCTGGCGCGGCCCAGCGGCGCCGCACCCCTGGGCCCGCCTGGGCCCGGGCCGTGGTTCGTTGTCATAGTTGTAATTCTACCAGCGCCACCGCGCGGTGGAGCGCTTCGAGCGCGTCCAGCTGCTGCGCCCGCCGCTGGCGCAAGTCGAGGGGGGGAGCTGGGCTCGAGCCCCAGCGTCGGCGAGACAGTCCGCGGCGGCGTTGCCAGCCCAGTCTTCCGCGGCGATGCCGCGGGCAGCGGCCCCTGCGACAGTGCGGTGCGATTGCCTCCCAGAGGTCAGCGTGCGGCGCCTCGAAACGCGGCAACACCGCGACTCACGAAGCAGGAACCAGTGACGACGTCAACGGGCGCCCCTGCTAAACTGCACGCCTGCACCGCAGCCCACAGCTCAACACGCTGCGCGGTCTGCCGCCCGTCAACGTCAACCTGGCCGTGGCGGTCGATGCGCCCAGCGGGGAACTCCTCTAACCTCGCGCCCAATCCCGCGTGGACGAGCAACCGAGTGCAGGTGGGAGCCGTCGGTCCAGGCACGGACCCGCCCGTGCGGCAGCTCCTCCGCGGCGGGGTCAGGAAACGGCGGCAACGGGAGCGCCTGCTGGGCCACGGCGGCCAGTGCTCGAGGTCCTCGACTGCGGCGCCGCAGTGCGGGCACGCCTGCGGCCGCCTCCATTTCGCGGCAACGGACTCCGCGATCACACGGCCAGAAATCACAGCCTAGAGCGCCCGCGGTGTCGGGCGCCAGCCGCGGCGCGTCGCCCCGGGATCCACGCCCCCCGCGAGGTGCTGGTAGTCGGCCTGACGTCTGGCGACTTCGCGGGCTTCCCGCCTCCCCCAAGCCTCCAGCAGCACCGCGCTGGTGTCTGGGAGGGCGCGGGCGGCTGGGCGCCAGCCGCCAGGGGCATTCCGGGATACCACTCCAGGCTTCGATGTCGGCCCCCATTTGCAGTTCTTCCACGTTGCAGAGGGCGGCTGCGACCAGGCCAGACCGAAGGAGGCCTTGCCCAGCAGCCATCGCGCCCGCGGCCTCGCGCCACAGGTCGGCTGGAAACTGCCTCCGCCAGAGCACTTTTGCATTAGCGGGGCGAGCACCGCGGCCAGCGGACAAAAACGCCAGCTCGGCGCCAGAACGCCGACGGACGCGCCCAGGCCACCGCGGCAGACGGCCTCCTTCGCCGCCGCGCGAGGGCCGGCGAGCACGCGGGCCCCTGGCCGCCCGCGAGCGGCGCCGTAAAGGCCCGCTGTTGCGCCAGCGGCTGCGCCCAGCTGGCAGCGGCTCCCGAAGCCGAGCGGCAGGCAGCCGAGGCGGGCAAACCGCGTGAGGCCCCGCGCAGCCGCGCCGCAGTGGCCGCGCAGCGCCTGGCCTTGCTTGCGGTGGTCGTGACCCCCAGGTTCTGGATCTCAGTGCCTGCCCGGATCCTGGGGATCTGCTCCGTGAGCCAGCGCCGGAACTCTCTGCTGTTCGCGAAATGCTTGCTCTTGCTGCGGTTCAGGACCCAGCCCATGGCCGTCTCAAAAGCAGCCGTCAAGCGCGGCGCGTCACGCGCGGCTTCAGCGAGATCAGCCCTGTCTCGCGCGGCTGCCCGCGCCCAGAGCGCGAAGTCGGCTACGTGCGCGCGCTGGCGCGACCGATCGTCCAACCTGCCGGTGGCTCGCGCGCGCGGCATGGTCAGCGCGGCCAGGATGAGCGCGGCGAGGGGGCAGCCGGGCTGCAGGCCCTGGGAGGACCGCCGCGGGCATCCGATGGCTTTGCCCATCTGGATGCGCCTGCGAGCAGAGCGCGCTGCCAGAGCTGGCTCGGAGATCCGGTCGGCGACCCCCGCGCGCGCCAGGAGAGCAGGAAGCGTCTGGAGTCTGGAGGTCGACCTGGCGCAGGGCGTCGGCCGCCTCCCAGTTCCAAGGCCAGCTCCCACGCGAGCTCCTCAACTCCCTGCCGCCGCGCACCCCCCCTCCCAGCTGCGCCGACACCAGGCGGGCGGGCGCGCGCGGCCCTGGCGGGGGATTGAAGAAGCCAACAGGGCCCGTCGCCGCCGCCGGGCTCCGGCAACAACGGCCCCTCCGGCTCCGCGAGCTCCTGCTGCGATGCGCCGCGCGCCTCCGCTTCCTCGAAGAGCTGCGCGATCCACTCGCGCAGGCCCTGCGGCAGCAGCTGGAGCTCGCTCGCCAGGCGCGCGCCCGGCCCAGGCCCCTTGCGTTTCGGCATGGCCCGCAGCAGCGAGGTCGCCAAATCTGCGGCCCAGGGGGCCGCATTAAGGAATGGCGGCAAGCCGCCCACTTCCCGCGCCCATTCCCCTGGCGCGGGGGACGCCGCGGGCCGCGGCAAGAGCTCTCGCCAAGGGCCCTCGAAGTATCGGAGCTTCGCGGCGGGGCCGCCATGCTGCGCCAGTGGCCGCGGCCGCCGCCCCGCCGATGGCCTGGCGGCGGGCGCGGCCGCGGCGGCGCCGGCAACCAGCGGTGGAGCAGGTGCCAGCTGGGCTTCCACGCTGCCGCCGCCGCGAATCCATCGGTGGAGCTGCCATTGGCAATTAGCTAGGGCATCTCGCGCAGACCTCCGCCATTCCGAACCGCGCTTCCCGCTGCCCGAGTCTGGCGACGCGCCCTTCCAATCGGCCTCGGCCCGCTGCAACGAGGCATCCGGGACTGTCGTGGGCGCCGACGGGCTGGCGAACTCGGGCGCCCAGCCCGAGCGGCCCGCGTCGGAGGTGCGCAGCGCCTGCGGCGCGGCCCCGGCGGCCCGTCCAGCGGTCACGGTGCTGCCTCGCTGCGCGTGCCAGAGGCTTCGCGAACGCCTGAGTCGCAGCGGCGACGCGTCCGCAGCAGCATCGGACGCCTCTCCGCCACCGCCTCGCGCGCTGGGTCGGGCTCGGAGAATCCCGCGCCCGCAGAAAAGGAGGCGGGAACCAAGCGACTCGGCGGCGGCTGCGGAGGGCAAGGCGCCCCGTCCGGCCCCCTCCCCATGCCCGCGGGTTCGGAGGTGCCCCGCGCCCATCGGAGACGCGAAACGTTTCCGCGGAAATGTTTCCATCGCGGGCTTGGAGAATCAAATCCGCGCCCGCGGAAAAAGATGCGGGGGCCAATCGATTCGGCGGCGGCGGCGGAGGGCAAGGCGACTCGTTCGGCCCGCCCCGCCCTCCCCGCGGGTTCGGGGGCTCGCCGGAGCCGCAAGTGCACGAAACGCTTCCGTTGGAAGCGTCGCCGTCGGGGGTTCGGAGAATCCCGCGCCCGCGGGAAATTGGGCGGGGGCCGATTGACGCGGCCCTAACGCGGCCCGTCGATGGCTTTCGACGGCGCGAGCGCGGCTCCAATGCGGCCATGGACGACCCCATCGCGGCTCCAAGATGTCTTTGACGCGGCCAGAAGAAGGCAATTGATGGCCCTCGAACCCACGAGGACAGAGCGAGGGGCACGGAGAAAGGAGGTTCGAGGCAGGAGCGAAGGATGAGAGGGACTGAGAAGGGAAGGAAAAGAGGATTGGGAGGGGGGCGAGGATGGAGGAGCGAACAGCACAGAGGGCGCAGCCAAAGAGGGGGGCGGTTTTGCGGCTGCTCGGCTGGAGAATCTAAGGAATCTGGGAGGATTTTCCGAGGAATGTGTAAAGAATCCCGAAGGGATCTTCCAGGAATCTCTCCAGGAATCTCGGAGAAAATGTTTGTTGGAGGGTCTGAGGACTCCCTGCAACATCTATGCGGTATGTATGTGTGTATATTTATATATATATATATATATATATATGCACAAGTCTGTGTATACACACACGGAATCTCTTCGAATGAATATTTCTGGAATATTCAAGGAGTACGTCAGGATTCTTTGAGGAATGTGTAAGGAATCTGGAAGAAATGCAGAAATAATGCCCCCGAAGGAATCCCGA